GTTTGAGGGGGACAACAAAAAAAGAAGAAAAAAAAAAAAAAAAAAAAAAAAGTTGCTGCTAGTAGCTCAGGCCACTAGAGGGAAACAGTACAAGGACATATATTCACCATACAGATTAGGTACAAACCTACCCCCAAAAATTTTTAACAACAGAGAAGTAAAAGAATTCCCAATATTACCACCCGGTAATTTTTAAAATTTTGCATTTTTTTTCATTATATGACTCCCAGTAAAGCAATATTTTCTTCAGAAAATAACATAACTTTCTATTCTAGGATAACCTATTTCAAGATATAGTATGTCAGTACAGAAATTTATCTGAGTGCCAATTCACAATCTAAATCTCGTTTTCTGCACCTCTAATAGAGCCCATACAGAATACCACATGTTCCATCACAGTATTTTGCACAAGGGTACAAAATCAAAGGTGGTGTGGAAACTTGAACACTGACCTTTTTGCTCCTGAGCAATTAAAATCTCAGCCCTATTGCTGCACAAATACAATTCCTTACAGTTATTTTTCTTTGGTTTATTAACATTCAGATTTTGTAAAGAAACACTTCTGACAGCCACTGTACCTATCAAAAAATACGTATGTGTTGATTTTAATGTCAAATGCCAAAAACAGATGAATATGTTTTCCTGAAGGCTATTAAAACAAAACACCACCTTTTCGGCTAAGAAATAAGCAGAAGAAATTTCAGCTTAAACATTAGTCTTTTTAAAAGTTTTAATTGCTGAAAATGGAAGCCTTCAAACTGCCCTTCAGCCATTAGCAGCAGGAAAATAACAAATACACACATTCTAAACAAATAAGGCAAGCTCAGCAAAACCTGAAGCATTCCTTTTAGTACTTAAACAAACCTACGAATGAGCGTGATAAATACGGACTAATACAGGTGGGATTCATCTCCCTTACCTTTAGACAGCTGCAATGAAAACGTATACACTTGAGCTTTTCTCTGATTGGCGCCCTTTATTGCCAATGGAGAGAAGCAAATGCTTTTAGGTCTCGATTAATTTGCCATACCTTAGACATCTGTTTTTGGTTGATCTAAATCTCACTTTTTCTCATAAACAAAGGAATTGCTATCTAATTTATGTTACCTAGTGCGATGGGACAAACCGGCAAGCTTTTTCTCCTTCTCCTATGTTTTGAAATGAAAACTCCAAATTGGTATATCCTACATCCTAAAACATGTTTCTCCAGGAAACTGAAGTGTGTACGTATCATACCCTAGCAAGTGCTTCCTCAATGGTGATCATCTTCTCTTTGACCATCATCATCAGCTGGATCCGCTCCTCATCACTCATTGTGATCTCACTGGCCACGTACCCTACGTCCTCTCCTGCAGGAAAAAGCACAGAGATAACAAGCATGCGTAAGAGGTCAGGCACAGAGCGGGGTATATTGAAACTGGATTTTACCCAGTGCTCTGAAATCTGGTCACCATGTGGATCTGGCTGCCCAGAAACAGACCTTCCTCAGAGCAGTCTCACAGCATGATTTCAAAGGACTGAATGATTTTGAAAAGGAAGTAAAGTAGGCCAGAAAGCTAAGTTTACTCTGACACCAAGAGCAGGAGAGCATGACAAGGAGAAGTAAAACGTGACTGTCATCACACAGTTATTGACCCTGAAAGACAAGAATCAAAAGAGAAAGTGCTAATGCCAGAAAAGTCCTGCGCTCAGCCTTCAGGAATACTGTAGTCAGCTGCCAGAGCGGATGGGAAGCCCTTCCAGGAATGGTGTGCTGGGCTCTCGCAGCTTTCTGCTGTGGACTGGCCACATCCCCCGATCTATCCAGGCTATCTGATCGGCCACTGAGCTGGCACATGGTGCTGGATGTACTGGGGCCCTCGACTCCAGGACCTCACTTTTTGGTATGAGCTTCGTGTGTCGGCGCGGACAGTTAGAACTTGCCTTGAGAGCCAGCAAGGACCCACGCTTAACTGAGAGTGTCGATGTGCCCCTTTTCGACCTCGTAATTGGGCTCCGGTCATCTTTCACAATCCATCCGAACACAGACATCGTGACGTGGGGAAAGCATGTTTGCAACAGAAGGATCTAACAGATACACATGGGGAAACAGGAATTTTCTGTGCAAAGAGAAATACTTAAAGCAATGCACAGCTGCATCTTTGGGACAAGAACTAGAGAAGGACACCTGACAGTTTACGTGGAATCAATCCTACATGTGCACTAGGCACCAGATGCACTTTTACTACTTCTTGTAGTGTCTTCTCCTACAATGAGAGGCTGGATTCAAGCCTAAAGCAAATGGGTCAAAGTAACCCAATGCCAAAGAAAGGAGAAACATCTTTCTGATTAAAACAGACCAGCATTTCTCTCATGATGCCAGGATCAGAAAAAAAGGCATCTTGTTCATTTACAGGTATAACTTATAAATATATTAACTGCGTCACTTTGTGCATGTGCATTCACTGACAGTCAGGAGAGAAGGTGTCCCAGCCTCATACAGATGCAATCTCACAGAATATGACTCGTCTTTCTTTCATGACGAACCAAACATACAATAATTCCAGATCCACAGACCCCTAAGTGCCACACGGTTGCAAGTAAATTTTATTCCTTTGTGATGCTGGCTCCTTCTATTTTATATGGATAGGTTGCGTGTCCTTAAAAAAGATTTACCTTTTGAAGTCTGCCTCATTAGTCCTTTCTGGTTCTTTCGGAAATTCTGCCAAAAAAACTTATTTTTCTTTTTCCAGTCTGTTTTCCCTAAAAGGAAAGTGGGGAGGGAGGATGAGGGGAAAGGGAAAAAGAATTTCAGAAAAAAACATCAGTTAGTAAATGCCAGAGAAGCTTTCAAGCATTAAGTTATATTTTTTAAGTCAAAAACAAGAGTAAAAAAAATCTCAAATTTTCTGTTTTTCTTGATTTATTCTGTACTAGAACTATGCTGATGTAGCCATTTCAGGGAAATGCACATTCTTTTATAATTGCCAATGCTATAGAAGACTGAGATAAGCCAGTAACTTACATATTTTGAATTATAAACAGAAAATATTTTACATTCATTTTGATATCTGTTGAATTGTTAATGTCAAGTCTGGATGTGTTTTTGAAGTATTTTGTTGGTTTATTCTCTTTAACTGAACCGCAATTATGCAGCCTAAGCCACAACTCAGATAAGTAATTTTCTAATATGTGTGTGCAGATCTATACAGAAAGAAATACTTTACACATATATAAATGCACACACGCATGCACACGCATATTCCGCTACTTGGCGTGAGAAATTTTGTAAGACCATCAGCTACATCTGACTCTTGCTCTTTGTATGTCTGGACTGTACAGGGCTGGGTCTCCATGTCCATTAATATCAGATCTGCATATGGTTTGATGCTGCAGAAGTAAGTAATTTGTTCTAAAAAAGAATGGAATCTGGCTCAAGGTAGGGCATATAACTGTGCCGTTGAATTAACCAGGGCACATGCTACAAAGTTTATGCCATCTGCAAAAGAACGTACCGTGCCTGATCTGGCAGAAATGCTACTAATACAGAGCTACTTCATCCCTCTGCTTTTGAAAAATTCAAATGAATACAGCTTATACCGTGCCACTGAGTTTCAGCACGTGACTATAGTATTTTGGATCTCACCCTAGAAGCCCTAGAGCTGGGTTTACTGACTCTCTGAAACACAGCTTAAGTTTAGACTGTGTGGAAATGTCCCTAGAAAAAAAATAAAAAAGAAGCAAAGAAAAAAACCTCCCAGTTCTTCTTTTCCTCTCCAATGAGCAATACAAAATCTGTCCAAAATTGTATCAGCACAGCTAGTAAGTTAGGATAGCAATACAAACTAATTATAGTAAGTTAAAAAAAAAAAAAAAAGGAAAAAAAAGAAAAAGTGAAAGACAATGGAAAACAAATACATATTTATGCAAAATATTTCAGAAACAAAGGAAGAGACTGGCGTGACATGAACAAAAATAACAGAAACCCCAGTTATTCACTGGCGGTGGTAATTTTCAGAGTACAAACGGACAGGCTAAGAGTGATCTAACATGCAGACATTTTAAATTCAATATAACAAGTCAAAAGATGCATATTTATCACATGACAATGCTGGTTGGGCAGTCTCAGTGATCACTGAGACACCCAGCATCCAGCTTTTAAAGCTGCTAAGACTCGCCTCCCCACCCCCTGCACAAATGCTACTGACTTCTGCCAGCATTGTGTTTACTCAGCTCTTCACATCCCAGCACAAGCAAAACTCAAAACCTGTTTAAGAATTCTATAGGAGTATCAAATAAAATGAAATATACTGACCTACAGAGCCTTCTTCCGAACTTGATTTATGAATGGAGAGCCTAGGACAAAAAAGAGAAGTGGACTTACTGATGTAGGCTTCTTACATTTCATGGGAGCTGTCTGATTACAGTAAATTATAGTTTCCAAACAATATATCATGAGCTGTTTTCTCTTCCCTTTTCTTCCCAACACAGCAAGTTGAAAACAAAAACTGAACCCACTGGTCCGACCACAGTAACTGAGTTCCCGTCTTAAACATGCCTTTTGTGACCAGCATAGAAAAATACATACCGACAGAAACCTACGGTTAAGGCAAAGGAATCTAGGGATCCCTCAGAAATACACTTTTTCACATACTTTCCCCCTTTCCATTTGTAAAACAGTATTTTGGCTGCCTTAGAAACCGTAGCACCGGGATGCTGTATTTGTTTAGCTGTATAACAGTTTTCGGCCTATTTGTTTTTTATCTGAAAATGCTTTATAAATATTTATTAAACTTTCGGAAGCCACCGTGTGGAAGAGAGGAGTAGAGATCTTTTTAAAGACAAGATGAAGAAAGCTTGTCCAGACCCTATGAAGCACAACCATAGATGACTGGAGACTACAGCTTCTTTCTCCCGAGTCCTTTCTGTGTGCTTTCCCACCAGCGTATACTCCCTTCCTCATAAGCTAGCTGGAGCGGCTTATTTTAAGAGAACATGGACTTCACAAACAACCCACTAAAATAGTAAGTAAATCTTTTGTTCTCGGTCTTTATGTTCATTGAACTAGTTTTCCATAATGGATTCCAATTCAGTGCCAAAGGTTCACTGTGGGACCTCTGATGAGACATCGCCCCCCTTCACTGCCTTTTTTTCTGTCTGTATAAATGGACCTAATAGAAATTACCAAATCTTGTGCAATTCTTTGAAGCCTTCCTATGGGAATCACTATTTAACCAAGCTGCGCCAAGCCAGTGAAATGACTTCTGCCAGCTTCAATGGCTTTGCTGGAGGCTCCAAGTGCAACGCATTACTGCGGCGTCTTTGCTGAGAGCTCGGCCCCGCGACGTGACAATGCCCTACTGTGCGGCGGCTGTACCGCAGCCATGCGGAACGGAAACATGCGTACCCCAGCATAGCAAGACGACCTCAAGCCAAGTCGTTCTTTGAATGAGGCCATATGATAATACACGCACGCTACACTCCAGTTGCCGTCCACAGTGTTTGCACAGGCTCCTTGCGCTTTCTTAGACCCCCAGAAGAGGGCAATGAAGAGTTTTTGATCAATTCGGTAAACCACTTGAAGGAAAATTTTAGTTCAAGCCAGTTCAGAGTTTAGAAGACGTAAGCAATTACAGGCCAACGTTTTGCAAGCCTGAAAAACATGCTCATCAATTTGCAAAGACATCATTAAAGGGGAAATGAGACAGTATGAAGTTTCAGTTTGATTTAGTAATTTAGACAAGGAGGGTTTGGCACAGTGAAGCTCTGAAATGTAACCTCCTTTGACCTCAGGCTGATTAGAAATTTAATCCAGCACAAACTACGAACCAATTGAAGCAACCAAATTTCAGATCTGTAGTGCACCAGGTGGAGGGAGACATTTAGTGTTTTCCTTGCTGATAAAGTTTACCCTTGAAGGGAAAAAGTGAATGATATGGCTGATATCCCACCAAATGCTTAGTTTTTAAGAAGCCTGAATAACAAATGCAGAAGGAAAAATACAAACCCCATACTTTCTGGGTAAAAACTCCAGAAGAGCCAGTGTCAAAATTTAAAGACTTTCAACAGGGCCAGGATTTCATCCAGACACTTCAAAGTAAAGTTGTCAGCGAGTATTTTTCTAAATAAAGGTAAATCAGATAAAAAGTATGTGGACTTGTATACAGAGACAACCAGGTAAAAAGAAAGCCAAGTTCTGTTGGAACTGACAGAATTAATCCACTACATGTTTTGCACCCGAGCACAGACCTCACCCATCAAGCAGTTATTCTATTTATCTTAAATGAATTTAGTATCCATGAAATGCACCAAATCACCCTCCTTACAAAATGAAATCTGTTAATGATCAGAACTTCGCCTCACTAGTGAAAGCAGCCTCGAAACGGAGAGGCAGTCTCCTGTGCTCTTCAGCCTCCAAATCCATTTTAAGCCTTTTCTTCTCTTGCGCAGTTGCCAACAACGACGCAAGTAAGTAGCAGGTGTAGCGGCAATGTTTGTGATGTGGACATCTGTTCACTGGGAATTAGCCTGAGGCCACCAACTTGTCGCACACTGGCCTCCAAAGAAGGGGAAGAGCAGCAGGAGCAAACTTGTGATGCGCCTGAGCTAGAGGGGGTGAGAAGAGTAGGATCCACAGCAAGCAGACCACCTTCTCCTTTGTAACTGATTTAAGAACTATGCCGAGTTTCATCAGAGGATGCAAATTCCAATTATCATTTCATGCATTCCCTAAAGAGGTAATCTTCCATGCCTGGGCTGACCTTGAAAATGCTAACAGCTGGTCTGAAGAGATGGAAACGCCGACAAAACCTACCACATAGAGCCTGATAAGGCACTTGCTTTTTAGTTCCACCAGACAACTCTGACGCTTAAAAATCCTCAGTGAAATCAATCAAGTGTTTTACTTCCTAGATGTCTGGTGAAAAATTCCAAAGTACCTTGGAGTCGCTGTGTGTTTGATTTGCCAATTACACTCCCTTACTCTGTTAAATCGGCAGCTCCTCTGTGAACGTGTACTGAAAGTGATTTGTGTTCTTCCATTCATAGACTGATAACTTGTACTGAAAGTTAATGATGCAGTGACATTTGGCAGAAGTTTCAGCACTGCGTGTCTGAAAGGGAGCCAAATGCCATTACTCCACTGTGGAGGCCTTCATTTTTGTTGTGGTCTGATGTACAACTTCATTAGCAAGCTTTCACATGAAAAGTACTCTGTCACAGCATATAGCTGAAGAAATGTATGGGTATATATTCAGACAAGAAAGAAGAAAAAAAGATTTATGGCCAGAG